CTTCATCTAGATTTTCTAAGCGCACTGGAATACCTTTGCGACAGCCAGTCCCTTTCAATCCGAGCTCTAAGCGCTATTAAAAATTTCACAGACAAATAGCAAAATTTTCGTAGACACGCTAAAACAGTGCCGAGGGCTAGCCCTCGGCATCCCCCGGCACATCGAGGGGCCTGCAGTCACCCACACCCACCCCCTTCATGAGACTTCATTAGACTTCAAGAGACTTCATTAGACTTCAAGAGACTTCATGAGACTTCATGAGACTTCATGAGACTTCACAAGACTTCACAAGACTTCATGAGACTTCATGAGACTTCTTGAGACTTCATGAAACTTCATGAGACTTCAAAGACTTCAAGGGACTTTATGAGACTTCAGGGACTTCAAGAGACTTTATGAGAATTCATAAGACTTCAAGAGACTTCAGAAGACTTCAAAAGACTTTCAAGACTTCACGGGACTTCACGGCTGAAGTCTCTGCTGTTTCCCCCTTGATTCTACTTCGATAAAATTTTTGTTGAAGTTCGTCAGAAAAATGGTGAAAATTCGCAACGACCAAAATATCAATGCACAGGCAGTAACCAAAAACTCTTGGAACCTAATAAATCTTATATAGATCAATACCCTGATAATGCTTCTTCCAATGGTAAAAATAGCAGGTCTCTATCTGCTTCTGTTCTCGAGATAATTGTCTTAGACTTTTCTCCATCGATTTTTGGCGCCGAGGGTAATAAGGTCAAAACATACCACAGTATACTATATTAGGATTTCGACGTGAAGGTATCGAATCAATCGAAAAGTGATCTGTTACCTATAACACTGTGGGATGACAACGAAGCAAACACCATCGATAAATACCATACACATTTTCTATTGCTGGATGATGGCCGTCTTGGCTGCTATCTTAGTGATGCTGAACGCTCTACATTTGTCAAGGCAGCATTTGAAAAATTTGATTGTCATGGTGTGACCATCATTGTAGAAGGTGGAGTGAATACACTTGAAGTCATTCAACACGATTTAGATGAGAATCGTCCAGTAGTAATCGTCCATGGTAGTGGTCGTTTAGCAAGCGTTCTTGGTAATCTGCTCAAGAGCGTTGGGAAGACGGAGCCAATTCAGTATATATATGTTTATCTTGTTATTAAACACGCTAGATTTTGCATAATTTCAGACGAGATGAAATAGTGCAACAACTTAAATTATGCAGAGCATTATGGCTGCAAGATGAAAAGGACCAAATTACTATTATTCACGGTATTCAAAGAGTCCTTGAAGTAGAATATAGACGCTACTTAACTATTTTCCAACTCGGACGTGATGCTGACCTCACTAACACTATTTTCCAAGCAGTCTTGAATTGTAAGAAATCTAGAATAGTTCCCTCAATATTAACGAATCAATATTTTCTATTTTAAGCTCAAGCTAATTTTCAGAAATTAGAATCTCAGAAACTAGAGTCATGGTTGAAACTTGCAGTCAGTTGGAACTGTGTGGATGGAGCACACAATTTGTTTAAGCATCATGAAGTAATGATAAACGAGATTTTTGCTTTGTTTACATTACTCTATTAACGACAAATTTTACAATAGGATTCGCGGAAATTCTATCCAAGCTTGTTTGAGCAAGCTTTGAAAGAAGGTCTTCCAGTGTTCGTAGATTACTTTTTACGTCGTTATTACAATCCATTAGAAACAACTTATTTTCTCAATAAAAAAAAAGACAGCGGTCTGTTATGAATTTTCGATGGCATGAATAAAGATTTGATGATGTATAATTTTTTCAGCAAATGGAACAAAATCCAAAGAAACAGCATCAAACCAATGTAATGATGACAAAAAAATATGTGCAGAACACGCCCTTTACTTGATCATCGATGTTCTCTATAAGAATGTTACTAAGGCACCTGTTGAAGTATATTTTCTTCAAATTTCTTATATATAGTAAAGTATTATTCCTTTTCCATGTTATTATTGTAGCCATGGCCTTATCCTCGGTCTTTGAAGGATCTTGATCACAGTTATACAAAGTTGATTGGACCATTTGCCGAATCTTTTTATCATAAACAAAGTACACGCAAACGTCTTCAAGAAGATATTGCATCATTATGCTCTTGTCGAAAATGGACAAAATTTTCCTCCAACAAAGTTGCTAACTCATCAGATACACCCAATGAAATGGCAGAAACAGCGCAACATTCGGTACAGGTGCAAATTGAAACACTTCATCGCCCTGATAAAATTTTTGGACAACAAGAAATGCTGCGTGATCTTTTCTTATGGAGTGTTTATGCAGGAAATGTGGATATAGCATTGGTACTCTTACTTCAGCTCAAATCCAGAATTGGTGCAGCTTTGATTGCAGCCGGAATAGCCCAGCATTTATCTCTAGCTGGTAGTAATTCACAAATAAAAAACAAATATGGAGAACACCGCGTGATCTATGAGGAGTACGCTACGGCATGTATTGATGCCTGTTATAAACGAAATGAACAGTTAGCTTGTCAATTGCTGTTGCGCGAAATACCTCTCTATGGAAATATTACATGTACACAAGTAAGTTGCGCACTTCAATGTCATTATAAATGAAATGAATTTGTATTTGATGATAGGTAGCCATCACATCACAAATCATTCCGACTGTTAACACGCATTGCTTTAATCAAATTCTTAATCGACAATGGTACGGTTCTTTAGATGGTACATCACTCACAACAGTATGGGCTACATGCAAATTTACTTTCCATCTCATTTTATTTGGTTTCATCGCGCCTAAATTTCTTCGCTACCGCTCAGCTGATTCATCAAAGCAAACGGTATGTCTTGGCAATGATGAAGAGGATGTAGGATACAAGCCGAAACACTAATTGAAAAGTAGTGCAACGGACACGTTTCTTATAATAGGAACATGATAGTAATAATTATCATGTTTTTGTCATCTTTCGCACGATTTAAGCCGCACAAATTTTATTTGAGCTATTTTCGATTTTCAAAAAATTCTAATCACATTCTTAACAAGGGTTTTCTTTTCCTCATCATTTCTTTAATTATTTTTTTTTGAAACTAATGACCTAACAGCGACCGAAAACGAGTCGAGTACTCGACAAATCGACTCGACTCGACTCGGTTCACGCCGAGTCGAGTCGAGCCCGAGTGCGAAGTTTGAGAAATGTGTCGAGTC